CGTCACATATGCCATATGAGGCGTTTAAACAAATAAATAGTCAAATGCTAAAGGAAAAAAAGAATAAATACTAAACAATTAATATTGAGAAACAAACATCTTTTACGACTAGTTTTTGTTGTCTGAGGTTTATGGAATTAAACCAAGACCTAAGAAACAGAATTTTATTTTTTTAAGAAAAGCAAACTAACTAAAATGTTCAATATTATGAGGTGCAAGGGTAATTAGTTAAGACTCTAACAAAGGAACCCTGAGTTGTAAAGATAATTAGTTACTGATCCTAATAATAAGGGGCCTTGACTTAAGGGGGGCCAGGCAGTTGCCTTAATGGCCTTACCCTTAAGCCAACATTGCCTATACTCTCCCATTTCTCTGTTCCTTTCTTCTCTCTCTTCTTCCTCATTTCTCAAAAAAGACATTCTCTCTCATTGGAGGAAATCATGGTATGTCTTCTTTCTACAATCTTTGCCTGTCCTTTGAATTCTCTCTTAACATGATTACTAGAACGAAATCTTGTTTAATCGAAGAAAAATGGGGGTAAGATGCGGAAGTTCGTCAAGCCTCTTAGATCAGTTTCATGACACTCTTTTTTTTCTCCCCATGTTTTGCACTGAATTATTTAAAAATTATCTTCTTTTTACACTTCCAAAACAATCAAAAGAAAGGCATCCCAACGTGCCTATTGAAAGAGCAATGTTAAAGGATGGAACGATGCATCTGTTTACATTTATTTGTTTTGGTAATGCATATGCAACACAATTCTTTATGTGTCACATGCTCATATTCATCTACTGCCAATATTATATTGGATTAGGCAAACTCGGCATCTGGAATGGCGGTGAGCGACGAGTGTAAAATCAAGTTCTTAGAGCTAAAAAAGAGGAACTACCGGTTCATTGTCTTTAAGATCGAGAATCAAGATGTTGTGGTGGACAAACTCGGGAGCCCCGGCGAAACCTACGATGATTTCACTGCTTCTTTGCCTGACAATGAGTGCCGCTATGCTGTCTATGATTTCGATTTCATAACCGATGAGAACTGCCAGAAAAGCAAGATTTTCTTCATCGCCTGGTAATTTAGCATTTTTGCTTATGGACATTTGCGCTGTTACATAGGCATGTTTAGGAGCATATTACAAGGTAGTGTCGTCATGCTTTATGAAATGATCTTTGATTTTGTTGGTCTTAAATTTGAAGGTCACCGGATACATCAAAGGTGAGGAGTAAGATGGTGTATGCGAGCTCGAAAGATAGATTCAAGAGGGAATTAGATGGCATTCAAGTGGAGTTGCAAGCAACTGACGCTAGTGAAATGAGCCTCGATATCGTAAAAGCACGAGCTCTTTGAACACACTGGTTGTTTCTTTCCGATGAAATCCAATCCTTTTGATGACAGTAATTATTACTTTTTTCCGTCATTTTTTTTTTTTTTTCTGTTTGAAACTTTTGTTATGGCTTGTATTCGAAACTTGTAGTTTAATATAGAATGATTTGCCGCTTTATAAGATGTTGGTATCTTCATATAGCAACATATCCCCTCTTTAACACTTTGCTGTAATGCCCTGAAATTATATAATATATATATGTATGTATGTATATGTGTGTGTATATATAAGAACTGACGACCATAAATTAATTCCCAAAGTGTACCACCAAACTGTGAAGGAAAGATTGAATTGGGATAACAACAAATATTCTGCAAGTCACGTCCTTATGTTCTTCTTACTAAGTTCATGAGCTTCATATCTCTTAGGCGTCAATGCTTAAGCAAATATTACAAAAAAGCAACTTATATATAGAGAGAGAAACAACACAAGTAATTTATTACAACTGGAACTTACTACAAACACATCACACAGCACAACGATAGTAACACTAGAGTTGTCACAATAACAAATATATATTATCGTTTCATAATCTAGCAACAATTACGAACAACACCGTCATTACCACATGTTGTCTAAGAACTGGAAAAAGATGAATCTCCAAGACCTGTTGAGCAGCCAAGGACCAAATCCCAAGCTCATGCTCACATAAAACCAGTCCACTTCAATCCCATCTTTTCATCCCATATCTTCGACAGCGATGATTACGCCCCCTGAGCTGCAGTTCTCGGTGAGTGGACGACCGCATAGATCGTTGCCAGCAAAACTGGAAGCATCAAAGCTCTGGAGCAGAGTGCCTGTCGGGATTCTTCCTCTCAAGTTGTTGCAGGACAAGTTCAAGAGGCTCAAGAAACTCAAACTTGACATGCTTGGTGGGATTTCTCCTGAAAGCTGGTTCAGAGAGAGATCAAGAGATTCTAAGGCTCCCATTTTCCCTATTTGGAGGGGAATTGCTCCAAATAAGAGGTTGTTAGACAAATTCAATGATAGCAAACTTGAAAGACTTGTGATTTCTGTGGGGATGTCTCCGAACAAATGATTACTCGAGTGGTCCATGCTTGTTATAGGAGAAAGAATCTCATCATATATAACTACCTTACCTTTCATCATAAGTTCCGCAACCTCCCTCAAGTTGAGAGAACCACCATCAATACTTCCACCAATGTCGAGGGAGAAATATTTGTTCTTGAATTTAACAGCCACGGAACTGAAATTGTTAATACATTTTGGAATAAGACCTGACAAGTTGTTATCCGAAAGGTCTAATATCTGAAGGGAACTAAGAGCACACAGTTCATCTGGTATGTGGCCATGGGTTTGATTTGAACGAAGGATAAGAATCTTCAACTCCAAGAGATTTCTTCCAATACAGAGAGGAATTGTCCCTTCGAATTTGTTCTCACCAATGTCCAGCATGTACATGCCAGAAAATTTTTGCAAGAACGACAATTTTTCCAGAAAGGCTGTTGTTGCGCAGCTGCAGGGATTCAAGAATAGCCAATGGTCCCAGGGAGGATGGAATGGTACCCCGAAAGTTTGTTGTGATTTAAATTTACAAACTTCAAAATTTTCCACTCAGTCCAACAGTTGGGTATTTTTCCAAACAATTGATTATTCCCAAGATCGAGAAGTTCAAGATACATTGGATCGCTCATCCTATGACACAGGAATTGAGACAGTGGTCCTGAAAGTAGATTGTTTGAAAGATTGAGGTGCTTCACCTTGAAGGATATACAAGGTAATGGCCCCTCAAAGTGGTTTGCGCTCAGGTCAATAAAGTGAGGTAAACATGTAACTATATATTTTTTTTCTTTTATTTCTTCTACAAATGAAAAAAACATTATCGGTTTACGTGTGTTTTTTTGTGAGAAAAAACACTGTAACGAGCCACGAGCCATGATTCGAACCATGATACGAATTCTCATACCAAACACCCTAGTATTTCATCACTTTGTAAAGTTTGAAGTCAACAAAATTATGATTTGAAACGGTAGCATAGTTAATTTTTGCTTTTATTTGGATTTTTAGGTTTGAGATATTAGTACTTAAAAGTCAAAATTTATGTATTATTTTAAAAAGTTTTAGAAATATGATATTAATAAAATTGAAATTTGGGTCCCTAGAAAGTATTGAATTTGGATGATAACAGACAATATTTTAAAAACACATGTAAAAACTGTAATTATGAAATTTTGTCTTACAAACTGTAATTATAAACTGTAAGATAATTTGTCACATAATCATTTGTCCGGAAACATCCCAAATAGCATCGGGCAACTCAAGTCAATCGAGTCACTTACCTCTCAGACAACCTAACTTTTTGGTGAATTCCAGGGAGCTTGGGAACGCTGACATCTAGAAACCACCTCAACTTGGCAACCTTCAACTCTGTGGGGATCTATTGCAGAAAAAATGTCCGTTATCTAATTTAGTATGTAGTTTTACTAGTTTGAACCCAATGATGTTTATGAGATCCTCTTGTTTTTATCAGATGTTGTCGTTTATCTAGGATTCGTGTCATTTCCTAAAATCAATCATTTTCTATGATTTCTTTTTCTTTTTTTTTTTTTTTCAATTTTAATATTTAGATATGTTGTTTTTTTTAGCGAATTCCTTTTTCTAGGATGCTGTGGTTTCATAAAACGTTGTCGTTTGATTGTATATACCTTCAAGTCGTCATCATTTTCTTTGTCTTTCTTAAGATACTGTCGTTTTATGAATAATTGCCGTTTACGTATTATGAAGCTAATGTTCTTGTTTTAAACTCCATCTAAAAAATGAAAAAATAATAAAAAAAACTTTGATATTGCAGGATATTGTCTCTTTCGTTGTATTTTGTGAATCCCCCCGTAATATCCTACTTTTTCAAGATTTATCGTTTAAAGTTGCTGTCGTTTTCTCTAGTTGTACGTGAGATGATGTTCATTTTGCAGGCTTGATCTTGACACGGTCACTTCTTAAAAACGAGCAGATCAAATGCTTTTTTTTTTTGTTCCCACTATACACTTTTTTAACTTTAAAAACGTAGATTTAATAAGGATTAGATACGTAATATATGAACATAATTACAAGTCATGTATACATCGAACTGAAATTAGTGATATCAAACAGGCAGAGTAATTGCCCTTTTTCCAAAAAAGAGGAGTGATTATCTCGATATTGACGCTCTAATGTTTTAAGTAATCAGCATATATTTCTACCTGAAGCAATCATATATTTATAATTAAATTATGTGACAAAATTTCATTTTTTGAATTGAAATTTAATAAAATTTTGAAAGCAGTAAAATGACATAATGATTATCATAATAATATACATTTGTACTATATAATTATATTATAGTTATTTTTCTAATGGGTTAGTAGCTCTATTAGTCCTGAACTTTAAGCCTAATAACATTTTAGTCTTTAAAACCTTAATTTAGTTATATTTAGTTTTTGAACTTTCGGTTTTTCACAGTTTTGGTCATTGACAATAAAATTGACGATCGATTTCTGAAATTTAATAAAGATTTCTGTTAGTTAACTAATAGAAACGAATTGTTGCTTGTAATTTTTAAAAGGGGACTTTTCACGTTGTTGTCATGTGACCTTTAAATTTGGAGGTGTTTATGCTAAGGACACCAACCTTAAGCTCAACTCTCTATATCAATATTGAGTTATCACTTTTCTTGATCGATAACAGTTTAAGAGATTGTCTTATTATTTAGTAATAAGATATTGTATTTACTAATAGAAACATGACAAAGTCAAAATTGATATGAATATAGTAATTAGAAATGGTGCAATTTTTTTAATGAATTTATGATAACTTTCGCATTGTTATCCTCTGATTTTCAGGTATACATCGTTTTGATGATGTTTTTGAGGTATTTGAGGTGTAATCGATGAGTTAATTATATATATATATATATATGTCTATTTTACAATAAAAGAAAAAAGGAATGTCCACAAATTGTTATATTTTCATATGAGTTTGTAAAATAACCCGTAATGACATTTTAATCCCTTCTTAATTACCTTTTAAAATCAGTTATATAAATTCACAACCAACCAGATGAAAAAGGGTATATTTAGAATTATATTATTGGCCCCGTTTATTTCACAAATTTGAATTTTACTATAGTAAAAAACTCTCACATAAAATCACATCTCAACTCGAATCGGCGAACTAAACAAGCCCAATATATCAATAACCATAAAATAGGCAGAATGATAATATTGTTGAGGTAAAGTTCTTTAAGGTCATTGGATTTGTCTGGAAATTCATTTCTCGGTTATGTGTTAGGAAGTAACAAGAATTCATCAAGGTGTCTCAAGTACGATTTAGAGTTCCTGTGTTTAAGTGATGGTGGAATTAGTGGAAAATTGCTAGATTAGTTTGGGCAATTAAAGGGTTTGAAGTACATAGATTTCTCTAACAATTCGTTTTATGGCCCAATTCCATCTTCATTCGGGGGATTGTAAATGTCAAGAACATTATGTAGACGTTTGGTTCATGGATTCAGAATCATGATTCAGAATTATTTTCATTTTACGTGTGTATTTTGTGAGAGAAAAACACTGTAGAGAATCATGAATCATGATTCAGAATCATAGATGAATATAGGAAACAAACGGACACACATCTTTCACGAAATCAATTGAATGGGACCATTCCACATTCTTTGGCGGGATTGTCATCCTTGACAGAATTAGTACTTTCTGAAAATCAGCTGGAGTGGGATTATCCCACACTCATTAGGGAGATTGTCAACTTTACTACAGTTAGATCTTTCAGCTAATCAACTGAACAGTATTCCATCATCGCTAGGGAGATTGTGAAGCTTGAGATGGTTAGATCTTTCACATAATCAGCTGGTTGGATCTGTTCCTGAAAGCCTCGGTCAACTAGTGAACCTACAGGAGTTTGATATTTCTTCCAATTCCTTGCGGGGTAATATTTCCGGACTCAACTTTGCCAACCTTTCAAAATTAGAAAAGTTAGAGACATTGGTTCCAACCATCTAACTTGCAATGTGAAATCAGATTGGGTTCCTCCTTTTAGTCTCTCCACTACATTAACATGCCGTCGTATCTTTACTATTTGGATCTCTCTAAAAACCAAATAAGTGGAAATCTTCCAACATGTATTGTTGAAAATTTTCCTGGATTAGCGGTGTTACGTCTTGGCAACAACTTGATAAATTGTTCAATGTCAAATACATTGTGTATGTTGGATAACCTGCAACTTCAAAGAACAATCTATCTGGGGAAATACCTGATTGCTGGGGATGGCAACAAGGATTATTTTTGATAAATCTATCATCCAACAAGTTCATAGGAACCATTCCAAGCTCGATAGGAAACCTTTCTTTCTTGACATGGTTGCACCTAGATGATAAGAGTCTGCATGGTGAGCTTCGCAATAATACGTTCAGTGGTTGTATTCCATCACAACTATGTCGACTTTCCAAATTGCAAATATTTGATGTGCCCCAGCGTAATATAACACTGGCTTTTGGTCCCGTGGCTAGTGCACCAAGTCCAAGAATTATTGCAACACCACCACCTAGTGAAGCTACTGCAACTGCGCCTGCGCTTGGTCCATCAACAATTGCTGATCAATCATCTCCGGCATCGACGTCACCTGCTATTGACAAAGATACAGAATGGCATAACGAGAAGGTCTCAGTAGTGATAAAGGGGACATCTTTTGAGTAAACAACATCGCTGCTGATGGTTGATGTCATCGACCTTTCAAGAAACAAGCTTGTCGGACACATTCCCGAAGAGCTAGGTGCATTCTCTGGATTACGTAATCTGAATTTTGTCACGTAGCCATTTGTCCGGAAATATCTCAAATAACATCGGGCAACTCAAGTCAATTGAGTCACTTGACCTCTCAGACAACCAACTTTTTGGCGCAATTCCACAGAGCATGGCAACCCTGACATCTATAAACCACCATCTATACAACAACTGGTCTGGGAGAATTCCAAAGGGCAATCAGCTTCAAACTCTCGACGATCCCTCTATTTATGCTGGCAACCTTCAACTCTGCGGTGATCCGTTGCAAAACAAATGTCCCGGAGACGATGATTCAGTCCAACCTTCAACAAGCAATGACCGTGAAGATGAAGATCATGAAGAAGATAAGAAAGAAAAGATATTGTTTTACTTCAGCATATTGGCTGGATATGCAACTGGTTTATGGGGTGTTATTGGGACCTTGGTTTTCAAGGGGAACTGGAGACTCGCTTATTTCCGCTTTGTTGACAGCACCAAAGACGGTAATTGTGGCGGTTGCAGTGAGAGTGGCAAGGCTGCAGAAGACCACCGACGAAGAGTAATTCATGGAGGTTGCCGAATGCTTGCCCTGTTTGTGAGTTTCAATAAACGCATCTCTCCTTTTGCGTACTTCTGTTTACTTCAGCATATTGG